ACAAAGCGCACTACATGGATACTGTACATGTAAGGGTAGACGGCACATTCTGACAAGAATCGTGTATTAATGTGATTAAACACTTATCTAGATCTTGCCAGAGGGGTCACCAGAATACAAAAGGGTGCAGGTGAAGGGAAAAAAAAATTGCCACTTCTCTGCGCAGTGCACCAGCACAAAGAGAGAGCGCTTACTCTTAATAGACTTCGTAATCTCAAGGGCATTTGTTTCAGATAAACCTTCTGCTTGAGTAAGATTTTACAAGACACTCAGCTCAGGCACTAGAATCCAACATGTAATATACTAATGAATTTTCTTTTCCTGGAAACGAGGACTGTATTTACTAGTCGCCCACACATATAGACTGCACTTAATTTTTGTGGGAGGATCAAAGGCTTTTCTTTTTGTTTGAAAGAGTGCAAGTGTAAAAGTAAAGAGTAGAAAAAGACTAAAAGGGAAAAAAAATCATTCTCATTTATCATCAGTTTCCTTTCCCTGTTCATTTCAAACTGTATTTATAATTGTGGATTAAGCAGGTTCTTCATTTCCAGACCTTACACAAGTTGTACCTTATTGGTTTAAGACCTAATATCTTTGGTGCAGTTTATGTTCCTTCTCCTGAAATGACAGCTTTTATTAATTATTCATAAAATGGCTATTTGCTTACTTTTCAGATCTTGGGTGATCGGCGCCATCGCCTTGCTATGTCTGCTGGGCCTAACCTGGGCTTTCGGCCTCATGTACGTCAACGAGAGCACAGTGGTGATGGCCTACCTCTTCACTATCTTCAACTCCCTGCAGGGAATGTTCATCTTCATCTTCCACTGTGTGCTGCAGAAGAAGGTCAGTATTTGCGTTCTCTCCCGTATCCAGAAAATAGCACGGTGTCACATTAATTAACCGCATGCACATTGGAATTGATTTCCATAGCGAGCATGCTGGAGTGTAGCGAGTTTGGAAAGCGGTGAGCTGCTAGTGCGAACCTGTCTGTGCTTTTAAATTTACAGGTGCGTAAGGAGTACGGGAAGTGCCTGCGTACTCACTGCTGCAGCGGCAAAAGCGTGGACAGCTCCATTGGCTCCGGCAAGGGCACCGCCTCGCGTGCTCCGGGACGTTATTCGACGGGATCGCAGGTTAAATTGCATTTTTCACTCCTGTAACTTACCACGTGATATGTTCTTTGGAAAAAAAAGGTGAACAGCAAGATGATTTCTTTGTAGTGTATGTGCATGCTGCAGCTAGAGGCAGGAAATGATTTGATCCCGAGTGATACTCAGGATTACGCAAGATTTGAAGAAAGCACAACGCGCAGACAGAAAGTAGGCAAGCAAAAGAGTAAGTCTACAATTCGTTTTCACTGGGACGGATTTAGGCTGCGCGTCAGTACAGTGACGTTGAGGAAAGTACTGGCTTCAGCTTTGTGGGGAATTTGTTCATGCTTACAAATTCAAATTTGACTGTCTATGCCAGGGTTTGTAAATTCAGTGCATAGATGGTAAGTCTCCTTGTAAAGTAAATTGTTAATGGATTCCACCCACGTTGACGTGAAGTATAGGATGAATTGGCGCGATACGCCGTAACTGAACATTGTATCCATATCCCAAAGAGTGCAATTTCTTCCAGTGTTCAATTATAAATAGTCCTTAGAGTCAAGCGTGCAGTGGCAACCCACGGTACAAGCTGGATTCCGCACACAGATCAAAGCGTTTAATTATACACAGTGGTTTGACAAGATGGCTCTAACCTCATGCTCAGTCACTTTATATGAGCGAGACAGGAATGGAAACACTCAGAAAGATGTGGTTGTTTATTGCTAACTCCGAGGCTTCGGAATGAATGTGTAATCAGCAGAGCACATTCGAACCCGTCGGCTATGAATGGTTCAAGTTTTTGTCTGTCCAAAAAAAGGAGAAGAAGAAGAAATGGCACTGTCATTTTCAACCCATCTGTGTCCCTTAGGTCTGGGGACAGAATTGTGTGCAATATGATAATGAGATCAGCTGTGTCAGTATATATTGCTGTTTGAATATGTGAGCGATGTGTCATCTCGGCTCGAAACAGATGCCAATTCGTGATGTGAAAAATGCTTTAAGCTTTTATAAATAAAAACATGCCCTCGGTTTAAATGTCACACTGCAATGGGGAAGCTCAGCGAGAGATTAGGTGAGGTATAGTGACAGCTGCTACAATTTTAGTTAAAGCCGGAGTAGGAAGAAATATAGAAAAGGTGGAAGAAAGCAATTTAGCATATGAAAAAAGACAGCCAGCGTGCTGAGTAACTTTCCCTTTTATTTTAAGTCCTCCTACCTACATTTTGAGCATGTGGAGGTATATATGTTTAAATCTAAAAATGCTTCATGTGGGGTTTGAACTCCACTCTCCAGACTGAAAGTTCAGTGCTTAACCAGTTGCTCTATTGTGCTCTAGCTCCCATTACAGGAGGATAGTTTTCTCTTAGATAAGCGGTCCCGAACACATTTTGAGCCACAGACCGGTTTAATGGCAGACAATATTTTCATGGATCAGCCTTTAAGGTGTAAATACAACAAAATAAAATGATACGACCAAGACAAAAACTGTGATATTTTGTAAATATGATAAGAAACGCGAATTCACTGTGTGATTCCGTAACTTTATTAGCAGCGTCCTCCTGAAATGCGCCAACAACATTGAGAGTAACATCCTCCTCTCTGCCCATTAATGCTCTCTGGTCGCTATGGTAACGCGTAATTTTTCTTTCAAAATAAGACACACAACTACAACACGGGGAAAGACCCAGGAAAACCGAGTTAAAGATATAAAAACCCTGAAAACCATAAATTTCACACCTGAGCCTCAACTCGGTACCGGTCCAGGGCCCGGGGGTTGGGGACCGCTGTCTTAGACCTTTTGAATTGCATTATGCTAAAAGTTTATCATAGACTTTTTCAGTTTATGATGCCAAAAACACACTTAACACACTTAATTTGAAACCTATTAAAAGTTAAAGATCCATATACAGTGTCAGGGATTTGAACCAGCCTTCCATTTATGGTTACACAGTGAGTCTGTATTTAAAAATATTTTCCATCACTTATGAAAATCAAGAATTCACCATGGGTAAAATTGAAGGACTGAGTGAATAATCAAACCAAATTTAAACTTGAGCCAGATTGCATTTAGTACCCAAATTATTTTTAAGCGGACCTTAATAAGCTCTGCTTTAACTGGAAACTGTTCCACACACAAGTCTAGTAATAGTAGTAAATCATCAAAATGAACAAGATTCATTTAATTAAAAATTTGCAGTCGGCCGCATCGATTAGTTAGATTTATAGGGTTAGGGCCCTGTAACTCACATCCAGTCACAGGTCCCCTAAGGGAAGTGCAGATGGAGGCTTGACTTGTTATTGGTGCACTGGTGAAGGGGTGAACCAGTGATGGGGTAAAGGCTGCAGTAAAAGCAGACAGATGAAAGGCGTAATGTTATTAAACTCGATGAATGGATTACTGGGAGGATAATTTCCTCCCGAGAAGTCTGGCTAACTTGGAGTCTTGCTTAAAATGTATTATATACAGATGTGACAGATTAAAGGAAAAACCCATGACCCTTGAAATCCGTTGGTCTGACAAGTATGAAAAGTCTGGGCCTTTTTAACCTTCAGTTAAAAATATTTCAAACCAATCAATCCCGTGTCTGGGAATTTCAGGGTCATTTAGACCACTTTTTTCACCAGCAATGTTAAAGCAGAAGGGTGTTCATTCTCCCCAGGAGAGTTTCACACATGCACATAATCAATACCAAGGTGCATTGAAGCTGTTCTGGCCACATGTGGTGGAAAAACTCCTTACTAAGGGTCCAATAACACAGGCCTAGAGACCGTTTGGCAACTCCAACATGCCCTTGTGCATTCTTTGGTAGCTACTAGATTGCCAGTGTCACCTATAATTTGCACAGAGGTCACCGACAGAGTGGAAATTGCTCACCTTCAAAGTAAAGGCCGTGCCTCAGTGCTGCAACTAACATGGATCAGAAGGTGGACCTTTTATTTTAAAGACAAACAGTCTTTGTTTCTGGTTTGCGTCACACTTTTCACAGTTTTGCTGTCGCTCAGTGAGCGGTTGGCAAGTATCTGCACACAAGTTGGCGATTTCCATAAAAGACGCAAACTACAGGTAACTGTAGCAATCTGCCAACAACCAAAGCAATCGCAAGGAGGTTTTTCGTGTAGCACCAAACATCTCTTTGTGGCCAATTTCACCTGCTGCAACCAGCTGCCCACTGATCGAGGATTACATATTTTTTTCATATGTTGCCACGGGGTTACCAAACAGCCTTTATCCCTTTTTTCCCTACATTTGACAATCAAGCCTTGTTTCGGCCTGGTTAAGTATACCATCACAAATGTATATTTTTCACACCAACAATTTTTTTATACTTTAATCAGAAAACTCTCAAATGTTCTGCACACAGGATAGAAAGGACTCTTTTCTATGGTTAGATGCACTCCCTTAGCTTGTGCAATAGCCCACGGGACTGTGATAATTAACCAGGATGAACTCTGTTGGATTGAGCCCTTTCCAACCCCAAGATACAGACTCAAGAGAGCTTGACTGATGACTTTATTATTGATTTAACCTATCACAGTGCTAATGCTCATTTTTAATTGGAGGTTACTTATCCCTACAGCTGACATGTTTCAGGGTTAAATACTAGATTCGAAAGCCGATAGCATCTCTTTTTCTTCATATCTCAGCCGTTATTGAGCTGTGAAGAATATGAGTGCACGCTTGAGGAAATATGCTGAAAGCCTGAGACTTTTCACTCGTCCTCCACGTGCAGACTTCTATTTTTTTTCCCCCAGAGTGAATATTTTTATAAGGTGAAATGTTATTTTTCTCCGCAGAGCCGCATCCGTCGAATGTGGAACGACACGGTCAGAAAACAGTCCGAGTCCTCTTTTATGACCGGGGACATCAACAGCTCTGCATCGCTCAACAGAGGTATTTGTTTCCGCAGCACATCTTTTCTTGAGTGATTCAATACACCAGCCTTCACCTCAGAATTTATGACTGTGACTGAGAAACTTTTTTCTTTTTTTTTCTCTCTCTCACAAAAGCAACGCTATTTTTCTCAAATTGCGTTTGGACTTGCATTCCTCTTAATAATGACACGAGGGCTTTGCGAAATTAAAAGCCTCTTTAAAGCTTTCAGCTGCAAACCTCAATCCAGCCGTAAAAAGTCAAGGCAAATCACTCATTTCACAGCAATTTTCCTCACATACTGCAAAATAATTAAAAACGCCAAGTGAAATATGCATCTCCCCCACCATACTTGGCTGTTAATTATTACCAAATACCACAGCAAGGTTTACAATGTAAGAAATCACGAAAATGAAAACTCCTGCCAATAGAGCTGCAAATTCTTACCTGTTCAAGTGACAGATTGAAAGGATAAATGCTCACCGCTGCAGAAAATTGTTTATTATGTCTTATTTTGAAGTACAAACCAACCGTTTTCTATCGTTTTGTTAGGAAAAGTAACACTAAATAGATTAGGTGATAGAGAGAATAGCAGGCTCTAGGTAAATCATGCATTTCATCACATTTAATTCATTTGATGAGTGTGCAATAAATGATATATTGAACACCCCGCCCATTCTGCCTGTAAAAGCCTTGAATGAGAAACCAGGAAAAGTGCTTACTGAAAAACCTAAAAATCAATTGGCTGGGAGCTTCTCTCATATATATGTGAGTAAAGAGTTTCCATATAATTCACTGACAGACAGAGTAAACTTTGGAGTCTCTCAGATTAACGGGAGCAAATGCTGCGCTCGCTGGCATCCCTCCCCGACATCTCTTGACGCGGGGCTCGAGTGCCACACCGCTCACTCTCTAAATTCGCTCTGGGCGTCTGCTCACATAGACGCTAATGCACACTTACAATGATGGATTAATGTTCGACACGGGGAGGAAGTGTCATGATCTCAATAATTAGGTGCTCGGCTTAGCACCATCAACAGACGCAGCTTTTATCAATAGTAGGGAGGCTGAAACAGGGCAGGACTGAAAGAAAAGCCTGCATGGATCTCCTGTATATATATGTTAAAATAAAAAGAGGTAAAAATTACATACATTTCAAACCCCCGGCCTTCTCACAAGGCTGGATCTGATTGAGAAAACACTCACATGAGCTAAAGAGCATGCTGGGAAGTGTGTTCTTCCATCCCACGTGTTATAAGAAACAGATGCAAATAGAATTTGCACTTCTCCGAGGCTGCTCCCGTGTTGTTATTAAGGAATTATATGTTGAGGAGCGAATATTCCTAGCTTCTTTTGTGCTCTGTATTCTTCCCCACTCCTCGTGTGTGAGAGAGTGAGCCTGCAGCTGACGCTCTCACTGTGATCATCTCGAGAGCGGAGTCATGCAATCATCTTGATAGCTTTGCATGTTCAATTTATCCCAGCATTCAAGATTATTTCTGCACAATCAGTGTGATTCTTTCTTTTTTTTGGGGGGGGGGGAAGCGTCGTGTAGGGACACAGGCACAGTCAATGGGGGATCTGTCATTGGGAGAATTCAAGAGGGGGGCTGCTGTTTATGAAATACTCTGTAATTAGGGCAAGCAGCAACAGCAACATCAAATTACAGGTTTTTTTCTTGTTTTAAAAATCTAAACAACATCCCTATTCCCAGGCAAAATGATAACGTGGCTAATTAATACTCAGAAAAGTAGGAATAATGCTGAAAGATGACACCAACGCAGCGGCACTATAGTGCTTTTAAATTTCATTAAGCATAGTCTTTAGACATAAAAAGTACAAGTGCAATTAGAACGCCATAAAAAAAAAAAGAAGTCTAACTTTTAAGAGGAAGGGGAGAGTCACGGGGTACTATAAAAACCTTTCCCCAGTGGTGTGACAGATTCAGAGCGTTGGAAAAAGAACAGTACACTCTGCCGGAGGATCTAATTGCGGTGTACTCGCACCTCAGATAAAAGATGTTTACCCGCTCTGGCACAGTGCATACAGGAAGCGCGCGCATGTAACGCCCTCACAAGTCTTAAATTCGGCTCCTTTAAAAATAATAGCCTCATACGTTGACGGGGAGAGAGAAGGGAAAAAAAGAAAATCAACGACTTGTAAACAGGAAATGAATGCGCCTGAGAAATATTTTCAGCATACTTGATATCCCGCATAATGTATTCAGACACTTGGATTTTTTTTTTTAACCATCAGCTACTGTAAGAAAAACAAACATTACTGAATCTGCAGCATTCGTGTTTGAGATTGCAGCCTTCAAATCTGCAGCTAATCACCGGGCTCAGACTGTGAAGGTTGCTTTGGTGCGGTAGTATGGGGATGGGAAACTGATGAGTCATTTGGGCCAGATCCTGGCAGCAAGAATCTGAAGACAAGCGCTGCATAAATAGAAAATGAGCCTCTGTTCTGTTTCCGTGGAAGAGGCGAGGCTGATGCAAAGTAATGACCGTCTTCACTATAGAGAGGACATATCGCTTCATTCAAAGGTTATTTCGGCAACTGCGCAAAGAGAATGAGCAAGTATTGAACTTTGCTCTTTGGAGAAAAGGAAATATTAGACCACTTCATCTCATAAGATTGGCAATGCCAGAAGTAATAATAATGGTGCAGGCCCCGGCTGTTGGTAGGCTTCCTTCGTACTGCTGCACCTGTCAAGCTTCCCATTTTCACACAGCATGCAATTTACAGCGCTAATAGTCAGGGCTCTGCCTCTTGAAATTCTTTTTTTTTTTTTAAGGTAGACAAAAGCAGACCTATCATTTCTTTTCAGCAGCAGTCAACTTCATTTCCAATGCTATGTCAGAGAGTGTAAACTTCCCGCAATTGAGCACAACAACAGAGCTGAGGCGCTAAAGTAGCTAAACTCAGGCTGAACTTCCACACAGGCAGGACAACAACAACAAAGCTGTGAATAGATCTTATTTTTAACTAGCGTTGTAACAATTTCCCAAATCCATGGTTCCGTTTACACCCAGGCTTATTTTTTGTTGTGTTTTTAAGCGTGTGAAAAAGGGAGAGAATTCTTTTTATTATTTTTTTAAATGCTCGATGATGTTTGGATCATTATTTTCAAGTTCAATATTTACCTGAAGGGTCTTTAAAAATTTAAACACACGTAAGCGTTTCAGGCATCCTTGGTCGTGCATTTCATTCACTTTAAACGGAGCAGAGTTCTTGCATTGTCGAACTGAATTGTGGATCTGATGCTTCGCTTTGCTTGTGATGAGTTGATAAAAGTTCATGTATATAACGCTTACTGCTAATTGAAGCTGCTACCTGCTCTTGGTGAGTGACATAGGGTTGGGTAGTACATGTTAGAGCAGCCAATCCCAAAGGTGGTGGGGGACCTGTGCCATGAACCTATTTGTTCATGTGAGAAACTGGGACTGTTGTGGAGGGCCCACCGATAAGCTTATAAAGTTTAAATTAATATCGAGCAGCTGATTTCAGCTTATTGGTGCATCCACAACAACAACAACAACAGTCCCAGTCTCTCAAAGTGGGAAAACTAATTGCCCACCCCTGTATTGGAATGTCACCCAGTCTGGAATGTCCGCCAGCGACCAATGCTCAACTTGAAAGCAATGCGGGATGAGTGAATCACACCCTGTCTGGATGCTCCTTTATAGTTCAACAATGCTAATTAGCTTAAGTATCACGAGAACATGGCTAATTAGCATATCATGAACACACATTACAAAAGCTGTTATCAGCCTACTTGGGCTGGCCTTCTTAATAAAAAAAATAAAAAAAACTAAAGCAAAAACAGAGCTTTGCTAACATGCAAGTAGCTAGTAGCTCAGCTAAGCTAGGCTAACATGCCAGTAGCTTTTAGCTAGCAGCTCAGTTACAAGGATGAAGCAATCCTTCCTTTTCTACTCCATGGGTGTCACACAGATAAAACCTCTTCCTGGGACTGTGTTTACTTCCCAGGCTTCTGCACTTATACATCTTTCTTTTCAACCTTATATCATACTTGTAGTAGTAATGTAATGGGAGCTCAAGCAGTAAAAAGACTCTCAGTGGAGTCGGCTCGAGGGCCATTGTGAAATTGGCGGAGGGGACAGCGAGAGAAGAATGTGGACAGCTGTACTGCATATTCAGCTCCAGTCTGAGAAGCAATACACCCCTGTCTTTAAAAGAAATATGCAGCTTTAGCTGTGTCCCAATTCCTAGGCCGCATCCTTCAGAGGACCTGGCCTTCGCGGTCTGCGTGGCCTGTGTGATCTCTTGATTAATCGAGCAGATATTTGAAGTTTACACAGCTACATTCTCGCCTGAAAATATCTTAAAAATTCATTTTGTGACCCAGAAAGAGTAATAAAACTAAGTCGCTGCCGCCATTGTTGGAAACTAGAATTGGCTGGGCCGCGCTATTAATTCTGGGATAAGTTGGGCCATGAAGGATACACCCGACCCATCCTTCAAATCCAGGGAAACGAAGGACGCATTTGTTGGCCGCATTTGGAGCAGCCTTTGAATTGGGACAGCCTTTGTCTCCTAGCTCTGACGTAATCGGCCTTCAAATGCGGCCTCTGAAGGATCCAGCCTAGGAGTTGGGACACACCTATGACATTCCTAACATTAATATTGGGGGTAAAAAAAAAGTATTTAGTAATGCAGTTTCCTAAAACACCCTTAGACAGGTGCATGCCCTCTGTATTTACTGTGTTGTCCTGTTTGAGTCCAGAGACGTACCAATGCCTGTGCTGTGTTGGCCATGTCGGTTCTCCTTTGGAAAGTTTACCTGTGTACTGCCTGAATGTGGAGCACAAAAAAGGGCTTAAAGCTAATGGCCGACATTAACGGTACAATTAATACACTTTCCATTAGCCGCGTCAGTTCTGCCACTTTCATGTAGCAAAACCTCCCTCACATTAATGAGCATATGATCATTTGGATGTTAATGGCTGTCACTGCTCAGCTGCATCTGCCCAACTGATATGTATGTTCTCTCTGTTTCTGTCTATATCTCAATTTATCTACCCACCTACCTTTTTCCTGTCTCCTTTTTTCTTGTCTCACTCTGTCTTTCTCTGGCTGCTCCAGGGGCTATGGCTAACCATCTTATACCTAATGCACTCCTACGTCCTCATGGCACTAACAATCCCTATAATACATTGCTTGGGGAATCGGCAGTCTATAACAACCCTCTGGGCATGTACAACACACAAGGTGTGCAAGCTTCTTTCATTCTTTAACATTGTGGCTAGGGCAGTGTTGTTATTTTTTTTTTCATGTCTGAGCCTGGAGGTACTCTAGGGGGCACATCTTTGTTCCCATCCCAAAACAAAAAGCAACTTTATGATTGGACTATTAAAAGTAATGCACTAAGCTGAAATCCCAGCAGTCGCCCTTGAGAGTTTTAACAGCGCTTTAATTTAGAAACAAAAAAAACAAAAAAAACAACAACAACACTGACCTTGCTGTCTTTGTGTTAGCTTTGAACAAGCTATAGCTTTATCATAAAAATCCTACAGGTTTGTTTTGCTGTGGGATTTTTCAGTGGTGTTGCATCTTGGCTTGTGTTCAGAGCCGTGCTATTCGGTTACATAAGTTGCACTCACTCGTGGCTGTTTGGCCAAACACAGTGTAAAAATGAGGAAATCCTCTGAAATCAAGAGTAGGCGCCCATAGGGAGCCAGATACAACACCAGTCATTTATTTTAAATGTGCTCCAGTGTTGTCAGTGAAGCTCGTGTGTGCTTTGTCTTTTGTCTCAATGTTTTCTTGGGATTTTTTTGTTTTAGCTTTTAGCATTGCATTCTCATGAACGCCGCTGTTAGATTCTCAGACACTTTTGTTTTGTGATAAATGTCGCTGAGGCAAGCAAGAATTTAAAAATGCAAATCGCCGGTGCTACATAACAGAGAGCGGTTTGAAGGAAAAATGCAGAGGTTACAGTTCATTTGTTTCTTTAGCTGTAATTTATGGTGGCCCTGAGAGGCCAAATGGACTGCAACCTAGGAAAACACCAGCAATAAGAAAAACGCTGCAAAAGCACACAAAACACAACGGAAATAGGAAAAGCAGAAATAGGAAAAATGAAAACGGAAAAAACTGATTTCCAAAAGCATAAGGGAAGTGTTTCTGGGGAGACAAAAACCCGACGGACCAGTTGCAGGAACCAAAATATGCTAAGCATTGCGCTGGGTGACGCTAAAAGAAGTGGAGGATTTATCGGTTTTATGAGGAAAGAAAAGATGAGAGGTAAGTGTGTTAGCCTAACTATTAGCCTAAAAATCAGCCATCAGCATTACATGAATCATGAGAATAAAACACATCTAGCATGTTTTGGTTCCTGCAACTGGTCCGTCGGGTTATTGTCTCCCCAGAAACACTTCTCTTGTGATTTTGGAAATCAGTTTTTTCCTATTTCCGTTTTTCTTTTTTCTAATTCTGTTGTGTTTTGTGTGCTTTTGCAGTGTTTTTCTTATTGCTGGTGTTTTCTTAAGTTGAAGTCCATTTGGCCTCTCAGGGCCACCGTAGAAATAGCTATTTAGCACTTTATTTCAAACTTGGTAACTGTCATAATTACTCATTCATATGTTCAAATGTAGATTTTCAAGTCAACATAGATTCATTCTACTTATTGTGATTTAAAAAACAAAACAAAAAACATTTTCAGTATGGCAGATATTAAAGCATTCCAAGTATTAGAGCTGGGTATTAAAAACCAGCAAGCTATCGTGTGTCAGTCTGACTATGGAAATGCTATTTTATTTTCTCTCTGCAGAGCTATTCCAGCTCTCAGCAACTCAATATGTGTTTGCTGTAACTTTGCGAGTCTGTAAAACTGGGAAAACTCGAGTAAAACTCAAGTTAAAAAACAACAACAACAAAAAAAAAAACCTCAGAGAGCTTTGATCAGTGGATAATTTATGTATGAAATACAAAGTGCTTGCATTGGAGGTTGTGATGGAGGGCTATGACTCACTTACACTGCCATAGATGAGGAAGAGTAAGACTGCTAATGCATCAAAAGATTTATCTGTCTATTTGACACTAAAGTACCGTATTCGTGTTTTACCCAAGGATTCCATCTTTTTTTCTCTTTCTCTCTCTCTCTCTCTCTCTCTCTTGCTATATATATATATATATATATATATATTTGTTATGAGATATGTTCAGGTTCTTTGTGTGGGTGCACAGAATTTGCATGAGGATTAAAACAATCTATTGCATTGTAGAAATATTTTCTTGATGCGTCATCAGCATACTATATGTGCGTTTGCCTCTTTCTACCTGTCACTGTTATGCTTACTGTGTTTTCTTTTCTTCTTTCCTTTCCCTCATGCTGTCCCTAAAAGAGCCCTACAGAGAGACAAGTATGGGAGTCAAACTAAACATTGCTTATCAAATGTAATTGACTTTGGCTTTGCTTTCTTTTCACTCGATGCTGACAAAGGGGTAATGAAAACAACGTCATTCCCTTTGGAAGCAATACAATTCTCTTTGTGACAAAGGCCCCTCACCTTGACAAGAATGCCAGTTAAATTGGTTTGAATCGCATCCCGAGTTCCACTGCTTACAGACATTTACACTACTTGGTGTAGTTTAGAAAAAGAAAAGAGAGAGACTTCTTCCACTCACATGTCCTAGGCCTATTTGATATCACAGCCTGAATAAGTGAAGCCAGTTACAGCTAACATTACGATTCACCTCAACACTTGAAAAGGCACGTCGATATAAATTGATCTGTGATCTTTTTTAAAACGCCGTGCCTTTGTTCATGCACCTTTTATTTGATTATGCCAAAAACGTACATAGATATATATTTAGATTTTTTTATGAGGCTAATTTCCTTCTTAGAAGTCTGAGACGTGCATCTTGTCAAATTTTCAAGAGGTCAGACTGCGAGCTTGACACTTTAACGAGCTGGATGGCCTTGTCTGAGGTAGTTTGAATTATCTTCAAATATATGCTTTGATGTTGATAGCATGGACTTGGCTAACTGATAAAGCTATGAAAGCTTCATGTCCATGCAACAGAAAGAACAGAAAGCCTCCTTCCTTCCAGTGTGGCTTTACTTTGAAGTATCAGTTATGTTCACATTGATAAAACATATATACCCACCCCGCCTATGCATTTTTACAATGTTGTTTCTAAATGCTCACATGGGACAATATGGTTGGGATCCAAATTCTACAACTGGTGTTCCGGTTTGTGTTTCACTTTTAAGAGTTAATTGCATGGCTTCGATGTGTCCGTTGTCTCTGCCTGCACGCGTTTTGTGCTTTTGTGCCGTGCTCGAAGTTTGGTGCTGTCTGGTATCGCACATGCATCAATGTCTTCATCACTGCCATCATTTAATTGTTAATTTTCATGAAAATGAAAATGAAAATGAAGTAAGTCTTGGTATTAAATACAGTTTTTAAAAAAGGTAAGTGTGAGCTCATAGGATTTTACTGTAAACTGTGTGCTTTAATTAAAAATGCTAATCCAGGCCTTTACGTCCGAGTGCATTTCATAAAACTGGGAGGGTTGGTGATTTGATGGCTGCTGATAAAAACAGCATTTATGTCTCACAAGAGTTCACTGTTCTCATTCAGCTACTATATCCCTACTCATCTTTGTCATTCCAGAGGGAATCCTGAACAATGCCCGGGATACAAGTGTCATGGATACTCTACCACTGAATGGTAACCATGGCAACAGTTATAGCATTGCCAGCGCTGAGTACATGAGTGACTGCGTCCAGATCATTGATCGGGGCTATAACCACAAGGAGACGACCCTGGAAAAGAAGATCCTAAAAGAGCTCACCTCCAATTACATCCCCTCCTACCTCAACAATTCCCACGAGCGCTCAAGCGAGCAGAATCGGAACCTCATGAATAAGCTGGTCAATAATGTTAGCAATGGCGGCAAGGACGGCGGCTACGGGATGGGCTTGGGCGTAGGGATGGGCATGAATGTCGCGCTGGGCCTTGATGACCATTCCACCTTTGTCCCCCACCACGACGAAGGCCTCGGTTTGGAGTTGATACGCGAGGAGTCGAACGCCCCGCTGTTGCCGCAGAGGCCGCCCCCATCCCTGCAGGCGGTGGACAACCTTCACAATCACCTCCACCAGTCGGCACCCCCACCCCTGCCGCTGCCTCACCACCCCTTCTCGTCCGCCAGCGCTTCCTCCTCGTCTCGAAGGAGGATCCCCCAGGAGAACAGCGAAAGCTTCTTCCCTTTACTCACCAATGAGCACACTGAGGACGAAGGCTCGTCGCCCAGCCACAGCCACCAGAGAGACTCCCTCTACACCAGCATGCCCATGCTGCCCGGCCTGCCCGACGTGTCCGGAGAATCGGCAGACGGCTCCAAGGAGGGCGGCGACGCCAAGAGCCCGGAGGCCAGCTCGGACGACGTTTACTACAAAAGCATGCCCAACTTGGGCTCACGTAACCACCTCCATCAGCTGCATTCCTACTACCAGCTAGGGCGGGGCAGTAGCGATGGCTTCATTGTTCCCCCCAACAGAGAGGATCTATCTCCAGAAGAGGCCCAGCAGGAGCCCTCGCACCTAGTCACCAGCCTATAGGCCCGAACCCCCTCCCACCCGTGCCCATTGTATTCTCACAGTCCTCTACTCTTCCCCCGTGTGCCCTTGGTCCATCAGTCGTTGGAAGTGGTAGCCTTTATTCTCTTTATTCTGTGTCCCGAAGACTGAGGCGGAGGAAGGAACTGTACCCTCGCTGTTACCGACCATAAGCAGGATAATAATTGCTACGAATGCGGTGGTGGGGGGCGTCGTCGGCAGTTAATATGTGACTCTATTTAGTTAGACACTGCAGAAGGTTGATGTTGTGCCCCCTCTCCTCCACTTGTCGCCCCCCAACCCACACACCGAACACCCCACAACACCACATCCACCCCATCCCCGCCCCCTCCCAAACCCTGTGTGGTTTGCCGTGTTTTGTCTCGTTGTGAAAAGAGACAATTACTCACACAGGATTTTTAGGTCTCAGAGATATAGTGTTGACAGTCTACAGGAACTGCATACCCCTAAAGTCTGAAACTGAAGACTTCACCAGAATTAAAATGAAACAAAAAACAAAAAAAAGACTATTTTATTATACTTCTGTATCTATATTGACTTTTTGAGAGATTTTCTTCCTCTTTGGTGAGTTGCAGCACATTTTGTTTGCTGAAGTGTCCCTTCAATGAAAAAAAAGACAAAAACCACACATATACGCACACACAGATACATTTTGGACAGTTACCATAAAGGAATTATTGATTGTATGCTTTTAAGCATAACTGTTCTTTTTTTTTTGTTGTTGTTTGTTTGTTTTTGTTTCTTTCTTTGATTTTACTGTAATTCCAGTTGTTAAAAGAGGGAGAAAAAAACTAATAAGAGAATTGCGAGATATTTCTATGTAACTGTACAGATAACTAGCATTGCACATGATAGTATGCTTTTTTTCCCGTTCCAAGCGAACCCTTTTGTCTCTGTAAATGTAGTGATTAGGAGCAATTTTGTTCTCTTGTGCTGGCCCTTCTGGGCTTTTGGTACCAGTCTGTTTTTTTTTTTCCTTTCTCTTTTATCACTTTCTGAGAAATGACCATCGAAATAGGAGCAAAATCACACAAAAAATACCACAAGAACACACTTATCGTGCCGCATTTTCGTGAACCGTATTCACCTTTCTTTTTCAGGTCTGGTTTTTTTTTTTTTAATTATTATTTTCGCCTGGTTCGTTTTCTCTTTCCTTTTCTTTTTTTTTTACTGTGTAGATAGCAGAGCTCTGATTCACAGATTGTCAAGGAGACAGAATCAGTCCAATTTAATCAGGAGGTGTCCCTCAGAAAGTTTATAGTGCATCCTGCATCTATATTGGCATTCAGAAAACGCTTGTGCTTCTCAGAAACAGAACAAATTGAACCTTGATGAGCACTAGACACTTGTGCAAAAAAAAAGAAAGAAAGATGGCTGTTTTACTTATTAAAGAAAGAGCTTTTGAAGTGAGAAAAACTGGGAGTGTTTTTCTTTTTCTTCCTCAAGGAGAAAATCTATTTATTTATTTGTTAAATAAACAGTAATAAAGGATGGGAGCAAGTTTAGCAGCAAAAAGAAGTTTTTCTTATTGGCTATAATTATGGCTTCTTATTTATTCTTTTTTTTTTGTATTGGTTTCCGAGTTGAATGACCTCATAACTAATATTTGTTGTAACAGTGAAACTTGTTTGCCAACAAATAAATTACTGATTAAGATTTATCATGTAGCTATGACAAACGTGCTGGTGTTTTGTCTGAGTCCCGGGACACTTTTGTATGGATAACAGCCGAAGACCTCCAAATAACGGAACGATCGAGTCTTTTCTTACTTCTGAGTTCGTATTCGTCATTAGCCCTCTGTCCATTTTAGTGCCAAGTCAGTTTTGGCCCCGGCAACAGTGGATGTGCTCTGTATGCTCTGGTCTGCTTTATAATAGAAGCAGTGGTTTCATAAGCTGTAATAAATATTTCAATATCATTGCTGTTGCAACCAATGGATTCTTTACAGATACGGTGTGCTTGATGTGATATTGATAAGCTGCGCTGGAGTTGTGAGAGTAAAGTGGACCGCAGACCGCTTGAAAACAAGTGAGCAGCCTTACCTCTGAGTAACAGTAGCAACTGAAACATCGATGTTTATACACATATTGGACAGGATTTGTTGGGTGGACTTTACTAAGAGCTTTTTTGTATTAAAAAAGAAACAAAAAGGCTAAAACCCTTAATGACCGTCTAGTCAACCTTAGCTTGTTTTATATTTGATTTGAAAGGTTAAGCAACTCTTACCTGAACTTGTGGCATTATTATGAGATCATAGAGCAGAGTGACATCTGTGAGATCACACATAGAGCATAGAGACAAAGCACAATTAAGTCTGAGCATTTAATGAGATAAAGGTGGATACTGAGGCAGTAGGACATTAGGTAATGGCAGGATGCTTACATGTGCGTTGATGACTCATGCACTCACTTTGATAAGTACACCTTGCTTTTATCGATTCAAACCCCCTTTTTGCCTTCAGTGCTGCCTTAATTCTTCATGCCACAGATTCAGCAAGCTGCTAGAAACCTTTCTCAGAGTTTTTGCCCATATTGACACAATAGCATCACACAGTTGCTGCAGATATGTTTGCCGAACATCCATCACACCAGTCTTTCATTTCAACACATCCCAAAGATGTTCTATTCCATTGGAGTACAAGGAACTCATTGTTTTGTTCATGAAACCAGTTTAAGATTATTTGACATGGTGTGTTATCCTGCTGGAAGCAGCCATCAAGCAGCTATAGGTACACTGTGTTCAAAAAGGCATGGACATGGCAACAGTCAAATGTGGCATTTGAATAAATCTCAGCTGATACTTTGGAGCCCAAAGTGCAGAGAAACTATCCCCCACACCGTTACACCAACAACAACCTGAAACACTGATACGTAGCAGGATGGGTCCATGCTTTCATGCTGTTTACACCAAATTCTGACTCCGGGACTCTTCAGACCAGGCATCGTTAACTTTGGTGAGCTTGTGTGAATTGTAGCCTCTATTTCCTCGTCTTAACTGATAGGAGAGGCAGACACTGCGGTCTTCTGCAGCTGTAGCTAATCTGCTTCAGGGTTCGATGTTTTTGTGCTTTCAGAAATGCTCCTCTGCATACCTTGGTTCTAACATGTGGTTACTTGAGTTACTGTCTTTCTCTCCGCTCAAAGCAGTCTGGCCAGTCTCCTCTGATCACTGGGATTAAAATGTTTTTTTCACTGGATAATTTCTCTTTTTCGGACTTTTCTCTGTGCTCTAAAGTAGGTTGTGTGGAAAAAATCCCTGACAATCAGCAGTTTCTGAAATTCCCAGACCAGCCCGTCTGCCACCAACAACAAGTCACCTAAATCATCTTTCTTCCCTATTTGGATGCTCGATTTAGACTTCAGCAAGGAAATGTGCATCTTTTTAGGCCTATGAGTCACATTTATTTGCTAACATGTAGCTAACACTAGCTTTATAACAAAAAAAAAAAATCAAAAATGGTCGTCTGGTGCAATGAAATCTCAGATTTTTAACATTCTGAAATCATTTTCTTCAGTTTGAGCTTGCAGTTGCATATTGTGGGACCTACTGTTTCCCCCTCTAGTCAGAGATGGCTTTCAGAGTATGACTGTAGCCTTCGAGTGTCTGAAAAGTGAAGCCAATACGGAGATGTATTCTTACTGATGGCTAGCAGGGGATGTTTCATCTTATTTAAAAACAGAAGTCTGGTTTTATGGATGTCTATGAGAAGATGGACGCAATGGACACTTACTTAAGTTCATGATCTATATTGTTAGCTTCAGGTATTTTAAAAGGTATATAAAATTAAAGTAAAGTAGGGGATTCTTTAGGGAGGACCTAAAATCCAGTTGACAAGTTGCTATATGTGTCCCTTCTCAGAGATTTCCATCTCTGGCTTGTCACATCTGGTTTCAAAACACCAGGATGACGACAGTGCTTTCCTTGGGTCCTCAGCAATACACACACTCCAAGTGTGAAGAAATACTTGTTAGGTAAAGTGATGGGCAAACAAACATACAGCCGTTCCTTTGCTTATCAGATCAGATGATTGGGTGTAGTGAAAATGGTGTTGCTCATAGTGACTCATTTAGAGGATTATTACCCAGCTCTGCAGTTTTGGTCATCGTCTTCTTCAGAAAAACTCTGCTGTGCTGCAGCAAACAGCACACCAAGAGTTAAGAACTAGCTTTTGAAAGCAGCAGAGCCATTAGTTGCTAAAAAGCCACACATACCCTCGAGATTCGGTTAACAACTATAAGTAAATATTGGACTTACATTAGCTGGCCTAAAACACAACTCCTAATGGATGTTAATGGCTCTGTGTGTGCTGCTTGTGTATAGGTGGTGTGCTTGCAGCTTGTTTCGTGTGACAAAACCAACAAATGTTAGCATCCGATAAAAACATACCACAAGAGGAAACTGAAACCTGTCAGAGTGTGTCAAAGAACTGAATGATGCTTTGATATCGATCAGATTTTTAGCTACAACATCAGGGAGAGTGGGATGTTTTAAGGCCATGGAGCGATTATTGACCTCGCTGGGGATAAACTATTCAGAAACATGCATCTCCCGTGCACTGTCGGCTTATCAGTTTTTGACACTTAGCTTGTTAGCTAACATAAACAAATGTTTTCGTATGTATATATGTAAAAACATCCTGTCTCAGAGTGATCCTGACAATTAAGGCTGAATTTACTATTTCTAGGTTGGACTGCTGTTATTCGGTATTCATCATTAACGCCTTGAAAAGCCTTCAGTTGATCCAAAATGCTGCAGCGAGAGCACTGACAGGGATAATAAAGAGAGAGCAAACCTCTCCTATATTGGTTTTTCTTCATTGGCTGTCTGTTGAATCCAGAGTCTAATTAAAATTCTTTCTCCTCACATACAAGGTCTTGAATAATCAGGCCCCATCTTATACTAAAGCCCTCATAGCATGCTTCCTAGGATATTTAAAAGCAGAATGGGAGGTAGAGACTTCAGCTTTCAGGCTCCTCTTCTGGGGAACCAGCTCCCAGTTTGGAGAGGCAGATAGACAACCTCTCTATTTTTAAGGTTATGCTTAAAAGATTTTGAAAAAGCTTATAGTTAGGACTGGATCACGTGACCCTGAATCCTTCCTTAGTTACACTGCAATAGGCCTAGGCTGCTGGGGGCTTCCCATGATCCACTGATGTGACTGTTGTTGTTGTTTTTTAATTCACTCACTTATTTTCAGTCTCCATGTATTTATACACCATTCTCCATATAATCAATAGTAACCATTAGTCTTTTGTCCTGTCTTACTCCCCTCATCCCGAACTGGTGGTGGCTGCTCCTCCCTGAGCCTGGTTCTGCTGGAGGTTTCTTCCTGTTAAAAGGGAGTTTTTCCTTCCCGCTGTTGCCACATGCTTACTCATAGAAGGTCGTTTGATTGATGAGGTTTTTTCTATATTACTGTAGGGTGTTTACCATACAATATAAAGCTACTTAAGGTGACTTTTTTGTGAATTGGTGCTATATAAAGAAATAAAACTGCACTGAACTGAAAAATATTAGCTTGTTGCAGTAAATGTACAACATCCTTTTATCTCTTATTTAATTCAGCTCTCTTGGCAGGGCTGGTTTGTGGATGCCTACAATTTTATGTGGCTCAGTTGGTTGCGGCGGTTAGCTAAACCAATCAGTGTGTTGGAAAAGTAAAGGGTAAAAACAAGGAGACAACAGCTGCATCCAGCAGCAGATGCTGAAAATGATTAAAGTTTCATTTTTCATTATAAAGAGGCATTTGATTGAATGTTCATATTGAAAGTAAAACTGAATGCACATTCATATTCTTTCACTGGACTATTTACAAACAGACAGGTGACTTTGTGAACATTAAATTAAGACTTAGATCATTTGCAGATTCTGTAGAATAATTGATTAAACCAAACCTAAAGATTGTATAACTACAGTTATTAACAGATTCTTCACATGCAACTTTTTGGAGCTGAAGACATTCCCACTGGGGTAATGAACTCATTAAATTACCATGTGATAAACAGACCAAGGCTTATTTCTGTCTCACCATGTGTGCTTATTATATTTTACTCTGTCCTGCATGTAAAAAAGCTGTTGCAGGGAGACTGTGCGGGAAGTTCAGCCTATTTTCACAGAGGAACTGTGATGGATGGCTGAGTCATCGTGAGAAATTGCCAAAGATGTGGCGCTCCTCTTATTACAGCCAGGATCTCAGGTCGCAAGATAAAGGATGAAGGGGGCTTCAGCTCTAGCACTTTTGCAAGCCCGTATGCTTAAGCATGGCTCTCTTTACTTGGAAATATGACCGAAAGTGCTCTGGACATCACCGCCGCGTGACATTGACTGGCATTTGCAGTCCCCACGCAGTTCATGAAATGTGCTGAAGATGTGACTCCAGGCCCCTACCCACTTTATAAACGAGCCCTGATGCTGACCAGGGACGTGCTCACATGGCACAAAATGCACTGTGGAATTAGCAGTGGCTTGTTCCCACTGGCTTGAGACACTCGTGCCCACAGATGTTTAGTGACACATGCAGAGATAGAGGTTTCTTTCGATTTTTGTTTTGAAGCCCAACATTATGCTTTGTTAACACTGTTTACCCAAGTGAGAATATTTTCTGCCTGCCACAAATGTATATTGATTTTGCCGGCTAGGCCATCAGACCTTAGATTGAAATCTTTAATTGCTAAAGGTTTTCTGCTTACCTCCCTAACTACAAAATAAGTGTTGACATGTGCTCACAGCTCTTAAAATAGGGCACTTTGGAGCTTCTACAGGAACACTGTAAGTGCTTAAAGTTTCTTTTGAAAGCACCGCACAGTTTTTAAATTACTTTTAAATTGAGATTAAATGATACATACGTGCTGTTATCATTTTTGTGTTTCACAGGTTAAAAGAGGCTGAAAAC